CGCACCCATTCGTAATAATTATAAATAATATATAAAACCATTGCAACGGTCAGAATACAAACAACGCAGTATGTTTAATGAATCATACGTACTACATTGTATGCTCCAGATATACTTGACAAGCCAAGCAGTTGCTGTTTTGAAAATTTCTTTTCAAAACACAAAATACGCAGTAACAACTAAGTAAAGCATTGAATTGCACTATGCAATGGCATTGAACAAGTCGTAAAATATTGTTATCTAGGATTACAAAGTCATATTGAATGCGTGTTGATAAAAAGGCTTGCGATGACGTAGTCCTGGGACAGTCGTACTTTAGTTATCAATTGAGTCGTATTTAAGTTAATCACATTCAGTCGTATTCAAGTTCAGTTGATTAAGTCATATGTAAAGTGTACAAGAAATTATGAATTATACAAATACATTATACATCTTCGTCAGTTTATACTGTTCAGCATCCATAGATTGGTAACAGCTTTGTCTAACAGCAAAAAGAACCTAAATATTGTTGGCATCATCAGTGGACCTTCTACACATTCGAGGTGTCATCCTACAATACATACAATACATAAAATTGTGCATATGAAAATAAGAATACTTAATGTACAAGTATCAATGATGTTAAAATATTCTGAATAAGCAGTCAAACCAACAAAGAAAGATACATTATTTTTTCATAATAACCAGAAAAATTGACGGCTTGTTTCGTTTCAAATCTAACATAAAGCGTGTAAAATTCGATGTGGCACGTATCGCAATAATGAAATTACTTTCAACCTAATGCTCCTATTTTGATTGAATGCATATCATCCTAATTCGACAAATTATGTTCACAAACCGCTCCAGAAATCATAACAGCATACCTTTGCCGTGGCTAAATACCATATCGAGCATAAATAACTTCTAGCAGCACGTCTTTATAAAAGATCAAAAATTTGTCATATCACAAAGCCATTGTGATTGTATACCTTTTGTTACGCAAACCGTCGTTTATCCTAAATACCTATACTATTTATTTTCTTTTGGTCATTCATCCCCAGATTGAAAACCATCTGCAGCATATAATATACAAATACCTATATAGACAGAATTTCGTTATATGACAGTGTGAAGAGAAACTGCGTTTGAACATTGTACACCGCGCACATGCCGGCTGTAACATATTGTGTGCGAGTTAGGGCTGGAGTACAGATTTGATTAAGAAATGAGTCTATTGTTCGAGGCGGCATGTTTATGAATGAAACAGACAAAGTAGTTTCATTACTTTACTATTCAGTTACACGTTACAGTTTTGCTTCACTTATGCAAAGTTACCAACTACAATGTTACGAACACTTGGGACTGAATTTAAATATCATGGTGTTATCGAGTTCGTTAAAAATTATGTTGCCACTGCATTTAGCATGATAAAGATTATATTATTTATTTATCATCAATTACACATGTCCACTAATTTAAAAAATTGTCTATATTAGATGTGCGACATAGGTTTTCTAATGTAAATTAATATAATTTTCCATCTCTGAACAAAAATTGCTGGAGTCAAAATTGGGGGGTCAAATTGCAAAAAAAAAACGCAGAAAAATTTAAACCAGTGGTGCATGGCATCGTGCAAATTGCTGGAATATCCCGCACCAGAATTAAATATCTGAGGGAAAAAATCTGTAATCAATCTGTATTGATCAATAATTAATAACAATCGTTTTAAACATTTTCAAATATATAATTATAATCACTATATATTTTATCGTTCATAAAATATACAGTGAGGATGTCATCGCTAAAAGCACTTGAGATAGTTTATATTAGCAGCAGGTGCTTGGATGAATCCATCTGAGGATATATTTCTTACGATTAGAATAACGCATTTGAAATATATCATTTTGAAACTGAATTGTAAATTTAAAATTTATATTTGAAGTATAAAACTTTGTATATCTTTGAACATTTTGAAAAAAAAATCTGAAAATTTTGAAATTTGCTTGAACCGTATAAGTAAACTTTTAAAATTAGCAATCTTCGCATGGAATCAAACAAAATTGTAACATTTTTAAAAATTTTATCAAGTATCTCATAATTTGATGTGCATCAGTCTAAGTTTTATTAATAGTTTCTGTCATTCCTTTGCTCTTTTCTCCATAAGTGGCCTGTGCAACAAATTTCTGCAACTTTTTTTTCATCTCTGTTGAGTAGAGTTTTCATCTTTTTGTAGCTTATAACAGGAATTTGAAAACATATGTCGCACACCTAATACAGACATTTTTTTTATTTTGTGGGTTTGTGTTATCAAAATAAAATATTCTTTGCCATCTCCTTTCAATAACCTTTATATAGAATAACTTTCTTGTAATAAATTTATGTATTACTTAACTTTTTTGTATTAAATTTATGAACCCTGTATAAATTAAATGAGGAGTAAATCTCATTGTCAGATTAGCTGTTGCCTAGTTATTTCGCATTAATATAGAAAGAAAATGCTCAAGCATATGATCATGAACAACCAAATAAGCTTTTAAAGTCCCGCATTTCAAGTTATTAAATTAGTTTGAATTGAAAATCACAAATTTCAACAAATCTTAAAAACTGAATTGCCATTTTTGCACTTTTGCCCCGTATTTTCGAAAGAGCTGGACTTGCCTCTGCTCAAAACTAATCGGCACGTCTCACCATCAATAGGAATGAAATGTTTTTTTAAATCAACCATGCTTTCGAAAACGTTTACTAAGAATTGTATGCGAATATACATAAATACATACTACACACACGCGCACACACATACATAGTTTTTTTCTTGGGTATGTGCAAAGATGTGTTAAGATGTGCAAACATGTTCATATTCGTTTTTTATAACTCTTTTATTTTAGCATAAATAATAATATATGAATATATAAATATGAGCATAATTGACTATATTTAAGAGCTTTGTCTAACAATAAGAAGAACTCCATTGAGATCTTCTTTGTTTTTTAAATGATATAATAATTTTATAATGAAGCTAAGCTTAGACTAAATCTAAAGGCCAATGTCGTTCCATTTTCGATTTTTTGTGATTCCTATAAAAGCAACTTACCCTACTGGAAGTTAATAACGGTCACATTATTGGAAAAGAATATTAAATTTGAAACAATTAAATTAAATTTTATATGCAAGTAACCAAAAGTTCGTGAAGGAATCTATTGATTTTTCTGTTTTCTAATTAATTTTTTTGTTGTTTTGTATATTTTATATTTTGAAGAAAGGTCAAATTGGAAATTGAAATATTAGAATTCTAGATAAGCAGAAAATGGTGAATTTTTTTTATATAAAATGGATTTCATATTCAATTCATTTTATATAAAAAAATCCACCATCTTCTGCTTTTCCTATATTGTTTGCCTAAATCTTATCAAGATCATGTTTCTTGACATATATCCTGAAGATGGAATGTACCTAGTTCCGAAACGTCGATAGTAAATAAATGAAAAAATGTCTTTTTTTCAAAACTTTTTTGTTTTTAATTATTTTTTGGATTCTTTGTTCGAAGCTGTACAAGTTCAATATATATATATATATATATATATATATATATATATATTTATATATATATGTGTGTGGTGTGTATGTATGAGTGTGTGTATTAATTTCAGTTTGCTTTTTAGGAAGTTCTTAACTGAGTGTTTATCAATAATTTGCTTCTTATTCCTGACATCATAACACTTAAAATTTTAATGATATCAGTTCAGAAATGTCTTTCTCGTCGGTATCTCAATAAACCTGTCAAAATCAAATCCATTCAGTGATCATTGGCCATATGAGATCCGTTATTCAATAATCTCGACAAATTCGGTCAGAGCATCTGAATCGAGCTACTTTTAATATCGTCGTCACTCAATTCAAACAAACCGCTTCAAAAAGCTTTCTGTGAATCTATTCTTTGGTTAAATCCGAACCGATTCAGCGATCAAATTGTTCCATCCCTAACGCCTGTATTTTGTATGTAGTGCGATGTGGCAGACACAGAACAGTCAGAACACAGAACGGCGTACACCAGCGGTTTCCAACCTTTTTTTTCTTGCGCCCCCCTTTTGAAAGAAAAAAATATTGCGCCCCCCACTAATTTTTTTAACAATTTAATTTAAATATACTTAATTGAAATTATGATTTATTCAATCTCGTACCAAATAATGCACAATATACATACATACAAAAATAAACATTCAAAAATATACATACAAACATAACTATGGATTATAGGAAAAAAATAATTTTAAATTTAATAAAAACAAATGATATAATATTTCACACAATATTAAAAAATTAATGTGACGGTTGAGCTTGTTTTTCAGCACAAATTTTCTCAAACCGCGGCTCCATTGTAGAAATCGCTGTTCTCAGTTCCTTTTCTATCACTAAACGAGATCGGTACTTTGTTTTTAATACTGCTACTGCAGAAAAAACCATTTCACATAAGTAGGATGTCACAAATGGTAAAAATTTCTAAGGCTTTATTTGTCAAAGTTGGAAAATCGTCCTTTACTTGTAACCAAAACTTAACAATATTCTTTTCGTCCTGAAACATCTGCTTCAATGTGCTATCACTAGATAAATCAATTATCATTTCCTGCTCTGCCGTTGGAAGTCCAAAATTATCATATTTATCAATAACAAATGGATTTCTAATCCATTCGTATTTGGACCTATCTAGATCTTTGAAGTAATGCGCAAATTGGTTCCTTACTAGTCATATGATTGATAATAAGATCTTTACTTGCTTCTATTTCATCATCAGTAACACATGTAGTTTTAAAAGAAGGAAACATATCAAAGTTATTACTTTTCATACTAGCTATCCACAGCTCTATTTTTTTCATAAACGCCGTAATCTTGTCCTTTTGAACAAAAGCATGAATTTGAGTTCTTTGCATTGATTTATTTAAATAACTTAGTCTTTCAAAAATGTCAACTAGATACGCAAATTTTGCGAGAAACTTTGTGTCATAAAATATGTCTGCTTCATCTCTTTAGTTATCAGCAAGAAAAATGGCAATTTCTTTTTTGAGCTCAAACACCCTTTGAAGTACTTTAGCACGAGAAAGCCAACGTGCTTCACAATATAAAAGTAGTGCTTTGTATTCTGAGCCCATGTCATCACACAATTTTCCAAAAGCCTTTCTCTTAATGGACTATTTTTGATAAAATTAACAACTTTTATTATATTTCAAATACTTCAAGTAATTCTTCACCCATATTTCTTGCAACAAGAGATTGCCTATGAATCATACAATGCGTCCAAACTGCACGAGGAGCCACTTTTCGAACTAGGGCCTGCAGACCAGCATTTTTTCCTGCCATAGATGGAGCTCCATCAGTGCACAGTCCAACACAGTTCTCCCATAAAATACCATTTTCAATAAAAAGTTATCAATCATATTAAAATTTCACTCGCCGTAGCTTTGCCTTCAATTGCCTTACAGAATAACAACTCTTCTCTAATATCATTTTCCATAACATATCTTATATATGTTATTAAGTGTGCATCCTTAGCAACATCGGTAGCCTCATCTACTTGCAACGCGAAAGAAGATAATTTAATTTTTTCTATCAACTGATCGCAAAGATCATCAGATATATCTGATATTCGTCTTCCCACCGTATTATCTGCCAGCGGAATGCTTTTAATTTGATCAGCATATGATTCACCAAACATCGTAGCTATTATGTCAATAGCTGCTGGTAGTACTAAAGTTTCTCCTATTGAATGGGGTTTTTTGCATTTAGCAATTCTATACGAAACTTTGTATGACGCAAGTAACGCTTTTTGTGATACAGACAAAGCTTTTGAAAACGATTCTTTCTGTTTATTTAAGTTATCTAATTTTCTTTGGAAAAATTCTTTTGTTTTGCCAACAGATGTCGTTTTAATTTACTTGGTTTCATGCTATCTGAGGCCAAAGTATTCATACACAGCAAACACATTGGTCGTTCTTGACCATTAATGATCTTACACGTAAATCCCAATGATAAGTACATTGGATCATATTTTCTATGTTTAGTTTTACTATTTTGTGAAGAAACATTTCATTATTTTCACCACCCTCTTCTTCTGCTTCATTAAATTTTCTTTTCAACCCAGTCACGTATTTATCCATTACAAACGGTTTTTATAACAAATCAAAGAAAATCACTTTTTCACTACTTTTCCACAATAATTCCTGGCTAATAATGTGCTAAAACTAAAGCTATAAATTTTAAATCAATAATAATTTAGAAATGATTTTTTCTATATATCAAAGCGTGTATCTCCAGCACAACTAACGATTTATAGATAATAGAATAAAAAGGATGCTTTTGTTTATTTACTTAAGTTAGTCTCGAGTAAGCACGTGAATATTCGATATGATCCGAGTGTTTATCTTTTGTTTATAGGCCTACAGCTCACTCAACTACAAACGCAAAAACGAAATATTTTGAATGCACCAAAAGTATAGTATATTCATGCTTTTACATTTGTCCTGACAAAATTGCAGTGAAAATTGTAGATTACTTGCATACATTTTGCTGATTTGTTTTTGACACTTACTCAGCATTTAACAACCATATTTTTGAAAGAGCTTTGCGCCCCCCCTGGGACGGCACCGCGCCCCACCAGAGGGGCGCGCCCCACAGGTTGGAAATCGCTGGCGTACACCGTACCGTACACCAGGGCTTCTTAAAGTGGGGGTCCCGACTATTTTCACGCTAATTTATGGCTTCTCAAGCTATGCTATTTGGCCAATATTTTTGACAAAATCAATGATATGAATTTATCAATGCAGGGAGTCTGCGTTAATATGTTTATGTTAAAAAATAAACTTGAGGCCTTTGTTAAAATAATTCTATATGGAAAAACAGAGTAGAAAGTGGATCGCTCGAAATGTTTCCATTTACTGACGAGTATATAATTAGTAACAATATTTCAAAAAAGATACCCCTATAACAAAATTTACAGTTAATCATTTGAAGAATATGGAAGTTTACATGCATAGGTATTTTCTTAATGATATCGATACACAACAATGGATTTGCAATCCATTTTCAATTGAAATGGAAGAAATTAATTTTTCAAACTTAAAAGGAAAAGAAGAATTTACCGAATTAACAAGTGATACTACCTTGCGACTCAGATTTTTTCAAGTGTCTGTGCATGAATTTTGGATTGAAATCAAATCAGAATATTCCCTACTATCGGAAATGGCAATAAACAAATTACTGCCATTTTGTGCAACATATTTATGTGAATCAGACTCTTCTACATTAACTTACAGAAAATCAAAATACCGTTCAACTTTAATATACGTTGAAAATTTATTACGATCTGCACTAACTTAAATTGAGCCTAGATTTAATTATTTGTGTAAAAATAAATAATCACATTCATCACATTAATATTGCTGGATGTTAATAATAGGTTTTCATTAAAAAATGTTACAAAATTTTATTTTTTCTATTGAATATGTAGATATAGTTTTATGTTTTCTTATAAAGATTTGTTACAAAAGTTTATTTTTTCTATTGAATAAATAAATAAATATATATATATATATATATTATATATATATATGTATTTATATAGAGTTTTATGTCAACGTTTCCAATTATATATAACATAAATGGGTACATATTTTTCAATCCTTATTTTATTAACTTCCCGTAGGGCAAGTTATAGTAATCGCAAAAAAATCGAAAATGAAAATTTTTATATATCTTTACGTTTCAGAGGTTTCTGAACATTTTGGAATACCTTAGAAAAAATGGATGTATGTGTGTGTGTGTGTGTATGTACGTATGTATGTACGTGTGTGTATGGTATGTGCGGATACAAATTTTCGTCGACGATTACGGAACACGGATCAACCGATTTGAATAATTCGAAAAACATTCTATTCGTATTGATAAGGAGACGTGCTGATTAGTTTTTGGCGAAGGCAGGTCTAGCCGTTCCGAAGATACGGGGCAAAAAGTGCCAAAAACGGTACCTCCGTTTTTAAGAGGACGGAGCGTCCGATTTTAATAATTTAAAAAACATTTTACTTGTATTGACAAGATGAAGAATTGATCAAATTTTCATAAGGTCAGGTCTAGCGGTTTCGGAGATCTAACGAAAAAAGTAAAAAAAAATGCAATTTGGCGGTCAAAAATGACCATTAAACATATGCACATCAAATTATCAGATATTTTATAGAGATTTTAACAATAAGTATAAATATTGTTTACATTCCTATGGGTTCCGTACCAATGTTTATCCGTTAGACAGCGTCGCGGCGCTTACGCGCTTTATATTTTGTCTCTATGCAGTTAAAGCAGTACGATTGCTTTGAAAAAAAGTTCAGATCTTCCAAAATATGTCAAAATAAAGAAAACATTTTTTTTCTAAATTTTTTTTTTAAAAAAAGTAATTTTTTGTCCAATTTATAGTTTCTCAAAAATCTTATTTTTTCGAAGTAAAATTTTTTCAAAAATGTTTATCGTTTTTAAAAAAATAATAATATTTGGTACGGGAAGTTTCAGCAATTTGCCTTAAGGCACGATGCCTTAATTGCCTTAAGACAGAATTTCACTTACAGCTAGTTTACATTGTAAAATAGTGCGATAACGGTTAATATATATTTTATTATTTGGAGGAGGGGGACGTTTAAAATTTCCTAATCTTGAAGGGGGTCGCTATATAAAAAAGTTTAAGAAGCCCTGCCGTACACGATCCCTCTCTTTTGCGAAGGGAGAGTTCTGCTCGATCCACAGAGAGCGCCCCCATCCAGCTCGGCGCCTCGAGGGTCGGCGGTGCGCCGAGCACCCCACGGCTCGCCGGGTTTGCGACGCGGGTGTGGGGAAGGTGTCGTGTGTACGCACGTTGCGACTGCCGTCCCACGCGCACTAAAGTCGAAAACTACGTGCGCCCGTTAGTGCTGAACGAACTAGGAATTGCAATTTTTCCAACAATTTATAATAGTCAAGTAGCGGACTATTTTTATACGAAAGATGAAGTACGAAGATATTTCTTCAGCTAAACAAGACATATATAGTGTCAGACACAATTCAGACCGATTTAAAATATTTTAGAATAATGTAATGAAATTAGTCATAATCTGTTAATTATTAAAGAATGACGCAAAGCTTTTTCTGAATTCCCATTTTTCAAGTTTTTCTAATCGCCCAAAAATCGAAATTATTTTTGACATAAAACTTCTTTAGGTGCGACTAGGGTGTAAATCCGTACAAATGCAACGGAAGTGCGTTACGGCAACGGAATGCCAATGATTCGTCATTCGCTCTCGATGATATCATATCTATACGAGTCGATTGTGATTAGTCGTCGTATATGTGCATAGAGATCTGTCATTGTATGCGCACGGATATCAACAAAGAAATCGGCGTAGATAAATACATCGTAATACAAATCTCGATTTAATGAAAAATGCCTGAATCAGAAGAATATTTTACGCTGTAAATAAAATATTTTTTAGACAAGACAGATATTACAACTGTTCAAAGAATGAGATTATATCGCCGGCGAAAAAAGTAAAAAAAAATACAAGCAGTCAATGAATGTATGTTAATTTTAATTACATTAAGATTTTTAAACACAATTCCATGATGAGTGAAGCTGCGAAAACAATATTTCTTTAAGCGTTGTTTAACATAATCCACTGTGTGAACGAATATTATAGAATTGCTTCATTTCTCCAATGAAGTTTTATTTCTAAATGCTAGTTACAATGACAAACCGATCATGTCATATTTGAAGTATGACATTAATTACATTATTGTTTTTAAATATTATACATATTTTTAATGCTATTATAAATATATAATTTATAATTTATCATTTTATAAATGTATATAATGGTTGGCACTAATAAATGTGTGCGTCACGAGTGTTACCATATTACTTATAAACATTATTCAAAATTGTTATATGATGTATTTATTTTTACTTAAATGTCATTTTGTATAGTAGCAAATACAGTTCAATCACGTGTGAACCTTACGCGCACTCTTTTTTGCATATAATCACGTTTCAAAGGTTTTTGAGCATACTTTTTAGCATACTTCAGATTAAAAAGATGTGTGTATGTGTGTGTATGTATGTGTGGAAACAATTTTTCGTCGACGTTTTTGGGAGTACCGCACAACCATCAAAAGATTTGAATGATTTAAAAATCATTCAATTTCTACTTATCGTGATTAAAACTGATTAGTTTTTGGGAAAGGTCGGTCCAGCTGTTTCGGAGATACGAAACAAAGAGTGCAGAAAATAGAAATTAAGTCTTTGAGTTAACACAGCATACGATTTGAATGATTCAAAAAACAATCTTTTCGTAATGATGAGAAGACGTGGTGATTAGTTTTTGACAAAGACAAGCTCAGGTGTTTCAGAGATAAGGAGCTAAAAGTGTAAAAAATAGCTGTTTTTGAGAGAACAAAGCATCCGATTCGAATGATTCCAAAAATATTTTGATTGGGAAGAAGCGTTTTAAGGAAAGGCATTTTTAGGCTCCTTCTGCACTGCAGTAAATATTTCATTATTTTCTTGTAGTATTTTTTTACAAGTTTGTTTTTAGACACAAATATGCTGTTAGAAATGACATTGATATTTCTTGGTAAGGTCATATATATTTTTTTAAACTGCTAAATTCTCAAAAAAAGTTATTTTCTATATTTTTATATTTGGGCAAACTATAAAGAGTATCGCATTACTATTGCAAAAACTTTGCTTTACTAGTAGTAGGTATTTATTTATTTTCCTGCTTTACAATGTATGTATATCACAAATGGACCTTATTCAATGGGGTTCTGCGGTACATTAAGGGGAACATATGAATCTGCATACATTTTAAATATTAACAGAGCAATATTAAATATTAAATTCTGTACGTCATAAATAACTGTTACAGATTTGAAGGTACAACAGCTTTGTTTTCCTTTGAGTGTGATTTAAAAAAAAATTGATAGATTAGGACGAGGCACAAAGGTCCAATTTACCTTTGAGCAAC